AGGGGGGAATCCAGCCCCTCCCCCTGTCACGGCAGAGAGCCGTGACAGGATCGAGAGGTGAGGGAACCTGGTATGTGTTCGCTCACCTCCCGATCTACTGAGCCGACCTGTGACAGTCTCATTGTCACAGGTCAGCTAGAACTATGACGTGAGTGGAAATCACTCATCTTATAGTTCTCCTTTAATTATCCCCAGTTTCGTTACGTACAAACTGGCTGTAATTCTTTTTGAATTTGTCACAGCCATAGTGACATATTGTGAAAGTGGCACAAATAAGAACTACCTGAAGCTATAGCACATGCAAGACCTCTTAAAAAAACCTGTTGCAAGGCTTTCATGAATTAGAGAAATACACAGGGCTTGAAAAATCCACTGGTCCTCTTGTCTATAACGAGAGGACGGTGGAGCCCGACGAGTAGCTTCCTGTCCGGCCACTGTAATTAAACGGCGGGCCAGGAACTTTACATTCAAGTCTGTAGAGACGCCTGATCGCTTGCATTAGCCGCCGCTGTCACTGCCGGTCCCGAGATTCGCTGTGCCCGGGACCGGCACAGCTCCTCTGTGACAGGAGATCAAAGGGAGATCGGTACTCAATCTCCTTCTGATCTCCTCTGCAGTCCCCGAATGCAGGGTGATGTATATTACATCACTTCCGCATTCAGCTGTGACTCTCCGGCTACATAAGCTGGTGAAGCAGATCCCTGCTTCATCAGCTTCTCTGGGGGTCCCTAGGTGACATGAGGGGTCTTGGAGACCCCTGATATCTCCACAAAGAGAACCTGTCATGTAAATTGGCTATTACATAGCAAGCTTCTTAGCCCCCCCATGTTAAGTGTAAAAATAATATTTTAAAAAAAGGTCAATGGTCAATTTTCGGTGTAGTAGTGTTCTGCAATTTTGCCGGCGCGCGCAATTTTAAGGCTTGACATGTTTGGTGTCTATTTACCCGACACGACCCCGTCTTTTATATTTTACCAAAAATATGGGTAAGAATAAATATTTAACATAATGTAGGGATCTACGGTACTTGTTCCAT